TCATTATTATTATTATTATTATTATTATTATTATTATTATTATTATTATTATTATTATTAAGAGACACGTACGTACATATGTATGTGACGAAACATATTCATAGATTGTCGTTGACTCCTTGTTTTTTACATTTATAGTTAGGCGTCAACGGATATTCCTTTGTCGTTGATAATAATGGACGCGTCTTGTATCATCCGGATTTGCGACCTTTGGTGAGTAACAATGCACCACTAATATCCTTTCAAGAGGAAATTTTTGTTTCGAACCGATTCCCGTTAACTCGTCGTTTCGATGTTTACCGACACCTGGCTGTCCGTTCTTTTTGTGTGTTTTATGCCAACGCAGCCCGGATATATAGACGTAAGTAGGAACTAGACACATTCATCGGTGAAGAAAACAATACTCAAAGTTAATTTTGCTTGTCATTTTTTCTCTACAGTACGAGGAAACATTGAAACCTACGTACGTTAGCGTAGATTTATCGGAAGTCGAACTTGCCGAGTACGATGGTCCGTCGCATCCTTTGAACAATTCTCTTCTTCTCGACGTGAGTTATCATTGATCATTGTACAATACCTATCCATCGATGTATGCCACATGTACGTTCGTGCAAGTATGATGTACCTACCCCCCTATCTATTTTATATTTCTTTCGTTTTTCAGTTGAGGCACGATATGATCGATCAAAAAGAAGGGGAAACAGATTTCGCGATAAAAGTTCATTACGACGATATGGTGAGTATAATTATATATGTATAATATATATGTGTAAGTATGTATGTATGTATGTATGTATGTATGTATGTACGTACGTGCAAACGTCCAGCACAAGGTTTCTAATGTTTCTTCCCTTAACAACACATTCACCGCTAAAAGTGGTATCATCTCCTCATCTGTCCATTAAGTTAACGTCAATAAGATCATTGCGCATTAAAATGAAATGTTTGGTTACCTAAGTACCAAACGTATCGTCGGTGATCATCGATCGTCATAGCAGTAAATGTGTTAATAAATCGTTTTATGGATTCATCATCGAATATGTACATTATGTAGGTAGGTAGACATACATACGTATATACATACATATACATATATACATAGATACGTACATACATATGCACATGAGTGTAGCCAGGGGGGCCAGGGCGGGGCACTTGCCTGGACGGAAAATAGTAGCTTTTGCCCCCTCTATAACAAAAAAGTTGGATTTTGTCCTCCCCCTACGTACAGCCTTTTTCATTGTGGCAGTCGATGTGTTAACATTTTGTCCCCCCCCCCCCCTCCCCGACTGATAACCTGGCTACGCCTATGCATATGTATGCATAATCTACACGATCATTGGAACGAAAAGAATATTTTGATCTGTATACATATACCTACGTATAGTACTGTTTTACCGCACTTATTCGTAATTCGAGTACATACTACTCTATTTAAATCAAACACACTGTCTCTTTTGTTACTGTGCACGCACGCGCACACAGAGAAGGGTCACCATTAGACGACATAATTACTTTTATAAACCAATCGAAGGGACGCCGTTCTCGTTGGGTCTCGGATTGCCCGAAGGTTATGGCATGTTTGAACTGTTGGCCGAACAAGAAATTAAGCATGCCATAATAAATGGTAAGTTGCGTTCTGCAAGATCGCTTGTGTCTTGAGTATGTGTATGTACGTATGCATACCATTGGTGACAGAGTTCTATGATACAAGTAATATCATCGCAGACGTATTTCGTAATCTTTTTCAGTAACCGAGTACTTTAAGGGAAACAATTGGAAGGTTCATCCCGATTGGGTATATTGCGAATACAATTCGGCTTCCGAAAAATGGTTCTCCTCCCCGGAAGAAAGCGTTTTGCATTTTTTGGCACGAACGCAAAGACCCGGGTGGAAATGGATGTCCTTGAGACCAAGGAGTCCAAGCTCGCATCACAAACAAGCGAGCAAGCCTGACAAAGATTCGTATTATTGTAAGTATATGCTATATCTACACATGTATATGTACATGTACTTATGTACAATTGTATCGAGTAAAATAGATGGGTACATCCCATAGCTCTCGCGACGCAGTTACAATCACATAACAATGACGCGTGTACGTAATTGTCGAAATGATAACGGGCGAATCCAACGTTTCTGTTAACATTTCAGGCGATAAAAGATTAGTGCAGTCTCTTGTTTTGGATGCGTTGGTTACCGATGGCTTCGATAAAAGAGGTGCGATGCACAAAGAGGAAAATCAAAGGTAAGCCACTCGAAACGTGTGTACGCCACGCGCGGATGCATGTCCTTTACGCGTGGACACTTACGAGTTACATTGTACATAGTGGGAATATGGGCAATGCACTGCAATGCACAAGCACGCGGTTATCTCACGCACCCATTATCAAATAACGTATTTTATTGGATATCTTAAAACCGTTGCCTCTACTTTTCCCTTGCCGTTGTCTCGCATAGTCGTGTCGTGAACAAAAACAAAAATCGATCATCGAGAATCACCGTCGTGAATTCGTCCACGAGCGAAGGAAAATAAGAGAAGGGTCGTACTTACCTACAAATCGAGTACGATAGAATTTCCACGGAAATCGAACGAGGGAAGAAGAAAGGAAGGAAGCACAGAACCAGAAAAAGTAGTACGAACGAGTAAATAAGCAAGAATAGCTGGAGCATATGGACGAGTCTTAAAGAATTGTTTCCGATCCGAGACGTTACAGTCCTTTCGTCGTTCGAGTATTAGTTTTCACTTACTTTTCAACTACTACTACTCTAATATGTAGTGTCTGTCGGTAAGTAAACTTAGAGACGGACACAGGAATACTTATGTAACGAGAAACGCGAAACAGAATCGATTTATATACCTACAATAATGGGGTTTGCGATCAGTGAAAGGGAGTGGAACACTCTCTGCACCAAAGTTTCTTATTTCCTATTCGATTAGTTTCACTCGCAACGAAAACATTAGTCTCGCTCTTTTGAGGTACGATATAGAGATTGTAAAACCTCAACGACCACGACCACCAGAGAGTTACAGAGTACCATCACGAGCATCACGATACAACGGTCGGTGGCGGCGACGGCGACCGAAAGGAATGAATCTGAAAACGTCATCGAGCAAGGCGAACGCGCTGTTTCTCAAGTGCAATACATATTACACATACACGCGCGAGTACATATGTATTCAATGCATACATTATTAGAACTCGATAAAATAAAACGGTACCTACTTATGTACCATACGTATGTATGTATATATGTATGTATATATGTATGTATATATGTATGTATGCATGTATTTATGTATGTATGTATGTATGCATGTATGTATGTATGCATGTATGTATGTATGTATGTATGTATGTATGTATGTATGTTGTACGTATGTATGTATGTATGTATGTATGTATGTTGTATGTATGTATGTATGTATGTATGTATGTATGTATGTATGTATGTATGTATGTATGTATGTATGTATGTTGTATGTATGTATGTATATCCGTTTTGTTTCGTTCTTCGACGGCGACGGGTAAACGCGACACGTACTATGCGCAACGGTTAATCTCTTCTTTCATTTACAATGTTATCTTTTATTGCATATTTTTATTACATTTTATATTGTGTGTCTCCACCGCTAGCCCTATTGCCATACTGATGGCTCTACTGCACAGGTAATCCATTATGCACAATTATTCGTATAAGCACACGGTTTTGCACGGTGGTTTTATTGAAATTATCGTTTTATTTTATTGTCCGTATCATGAAACGGTCCAACGAAATCGCCGCTTCCCAACAGTCCTTTTGCCTTTGTTTTTTTTCTTCCTTTTGGATGTCAATGTTTGACGATCGTAGCCCAAGTACATGAAAAAACATACATTTCGGCGATAAATGATCTAAATACATAACTTCGGGGAACATTGAAGAAACCGTGGAATCGGGTTGTAAATTCTTATGTATGTATACATCGCAGTAATGTGACAACGAGCATCACGTGAACATTCGCGCGTTAATATAGGGGCGGGGGGAGGGTCTGATTTCTATGTACATATTAATTACATATTGCAAATACAAAGTCGTAGAAGAGCTTTCGTGACCTTCCGTACTTTTTCTCCTCGTTGCTCGTTGCAGGGACGTTGCACATTCCAGTGAAGTAACTGATTTTAATATTTACAGTCAAGGAAAAGGCAGATTCGGTGTGACAAGGAGTTTCATCGCAACTAGAAGCGGTCTGTTTCGTTGGCATGAACACCGACAAAGCAACGAAGAATCCATCGATGAACCGTAAATGTCAAATATTTTTCATTAAACAATTATTTTTGTATCGAGAATTCTCATAGATTTAACGCGGTCGTCGATCGTCGATGAATGCGAATAAAAGTTGAATTCATTCAATAACGTAAATTCGAGCAACGCGACGCAAACAGTTCAGAGCTTTGATCGAATTTCGTATCGTTTGTTTAGACCCTTTGCCGAGAAGTACGCGAGAGCTATGGATTCGTCTTGGTACAAACGTGCCGTCGATCAACATTCGATAGAACCGGAAAGTTTCGTTTTCAGCGTACCCTTCGATGCCGGTAAGTAGATAAATTTCACTGATAAAAATTAACGAACGGTAACGCTGCGAGGCGAGGCGAGATGTTTCAAGAAATAACGTTCTGGTTCCACACGCACTTGACCAGAAGCGATTTCATACTTTATACTATAAATATTCAGACTAATTGTAAGGTAAACCGTCAGAGTGTGCAATTTGTTGTACTTGTATAACGATTTCATCGTACCTCTATATTATCATCACCAGCCGACAGCCCGAGTCCTTTAGTCACAGCTACGCACGCTGTATTCATCGGGAAAGGGCATAAAGCACCAGCTGCGGTCGTTGGTCTTCAATTTCAACATTCCTCATTGGCGTCTCATTTTGTCAACATTACTTCGACGGTATCGTATTTGCAGTATAAACTTGTACGTGTGTGTGTGTGTGTGTGTGTGTGCTGCGTGCGTGCGTGCGTGCGTGCGTTCGTGCGTGCGTGTGGTATGTATCATATATATGTACATGGGTATGCGTCTCTATTTGTTGTAATCGTTGCCACTCGTTTTGTTTTTCAGTGTAGCGGCACGAATTGTAAAAAAAATTGTGCTTCCGAAGAACTGGATTGTTATATCTTAGATAATAATGGATTCATCATTATTAGCGAGCGTCACGAACACACCGGAAAATTTTTTGGTGAAATCGATGGTACCATAATGGATTCTTTGGTTCAAGATAGAATTTACAGGTAATTCGCGTCGTTACGTATCCGAACAAAGTATTTTTAACTCCAGTCAAGAAACAGTATCGTTTCATCGTTTCAGAAAGGTGACAGTGACCGACTATCAAGGCAAATGCAGCCCACAGGAGTCTCATCAATCGGCAGCACCGAAAACTTTTCCCGAATCCGTCGCCACGACGATCGCCATATTCGGACACTTCTTTTGGAATTTGGCATTCGGTTTCAACGTACAAAATTTATGGCAGGTCGCTTTCGCGTTCGCCAGTGAATCCGTACGAACTTTGGACGGTGAGCTAATTCTAGTCTGGTGAATTTTCTAAGCGTCCATAGAAGGAGGGGGAATATACGGAGATCGAAAAAAATGAACGTAGATTGAAAACTATAGGTACCTAAGCAAGAAACTAATCGTACTTGTGTTGTCGTAGATGACACGATTTTCACGGACACGGTCGAAGAAACGGAGAAACTCGATTCGCTGACCGGTGGGGATTCGACCGCCGAACCGTCCGTAGACGAGAACGATGCATTTCCTAGGCTTCCAGCGGTCGCTGCCGCATCTCCCGCTTCTCCTGGTACAACACGCGCTACGTCTGCTTATTATCCGCAAAGAAAACTGAGGACTTGCGAGAAGAAAACGGATCTCTACATTTTACAGCCCGAAAGGCTCAACACCAGCGGACAAAGTAATCCCTTAAAGGGAAAATTAACAAATTGTCACGTGACTGGGTGCGAAAGGTATGTCTCCATTAAACAAATAAAACAATAAAGATTCATCAAATTTTTTTACGATCTGTATATGTGTTTACAGACCGTTTAGCGTACAAAAGATACGACACACGAATTTGATCTTACTTGTCGTGGACACGTTATGTCCATGTGGGAGTAAACAGCTTAGCATCGAACCTATAGAAGCAATCACAGAGCCTGGAGCCTGCACTGCGAGAAGAGAACGCTTGTATCGTCGAAGGCCACCGAAATGCATAAACTACCATCCAGAGGAAATGGAAATCAAACTTTGCGGTGGTGCCAGTCGTCCTTGTAATTCCTCTTTCGTCTTATTTAACGCGATCATATCTGTTGTTCTCGCATCGCTATTGGCGTGACTCTACTCGGATTAAAATTGTACACACATTCGCAAATTATCTTTTTGAAATGACTTTAGCGTTGACGTTTCTATGAAACAGTTATAAAAATGGTATACATACTAGTTGATCGGTTTAATACCTGTATTTGGCAAATATGAACACAGGAAGGATTGGTCGCGTTTGAGATTCATCGGTGAGCGCGTGCATTCGTGTGCGGACGTGTGCTAGAGTCACAAGCAGAAGAGAGACAGACTCGAGGGAGAGTGAAACTACGTGCGTGCGCGCGAGAAGGTGTGTGTATTAGAGAGAGAGAGTGAGAGAGAGAGAGAGAGAGAGAGAGAGAGAGAGAGAGAGAGAGAGAGAGAATGTAAATTAGAAAAAGAACAAAAAAGAGCGTGGAGCAGAAGAGAAAGAGTGAGCGGTACACGTTTTACAAGGTAATATATACATATACATATACATATATGTATGTACGTACGTATATGCGAACGCGTGTGTATGTGATTAATTGCTGCAAGCATTCGCATACGCATACGCATATATAAGTACATACATACATATACACACGCATGCGTACGTGTTCTCTGCATACGAAATATATTTATACACATGCACACGCTCACACCTATGAAGAGCGCCCGAGCGCTTTCACACAGACGTGTACATATCTATACAAATGCATAATATTAATGTTGATCTATGATTACATATCTCATTATAAATTCTGTTGCGAGAAACTTGTGAATATTTCCTAATCGTATATTACACAATCGAATCCGATTCCTAATTACTAACGAAGAGTAAAGGATGTGTATCTACGTGACTGCAATACTTTCGAGAAGCGGTGACGATTTGTTATGTATATTGAAACCTGATCGACCATCTTTGTGAGACGAATTATTTCCGTAATTGCACACATTATATTATTCGTCATAAAGGGTCGTTAAAACTTGCAGGAAACGAACGCAACGTTCGAATGTCCTGATTCGAAAAATCAAGATAAAGCTTGCAAAAACCTGCTCGTAACAAGCGTTCACAACAATAATTTCGCTCTTCGAAGAGTTTACGCTTAGCGATTAAAACAACACCTAGTGAATCTCGATTGATAAAATTCACTGTAAAGAACACACAGGAAAGATGTATTTTTCTCTCGTTGTTCCAATTTTCAAATCGTTCTCTCATACATATGTGTATGTATTCGTCCTATGAATGAGATCTTGATCGGAAGCTTCATATACATACGTACATATATGTAGTTTCATCAAATTCACCTCGTCAATAGGAATCATGGAACGAATTATCACAGGTGAAATTTTTACGGATCCCATATGGCTCAATCGGTATACATATAGCGATCATTCGACCACATGCAATAAAACGATAAGCGATAGGTCCATTATAGAAATTGAAATTTCTCTTTAGATCTTTCTACGTAAAACATATACATCTTATCTTTTTCTCGTTCAGATTGTACTTTTATCGTCGAACGTGCTGTCGTACTATTTTCTACAATTCGAATATCGAACTGCTGATTCTGACATTTTCACGAGAAACCTACATACATATCTGTCCCTATATGACTCGCAGCCAAACAATTAATTACAAGTAAAGAGTAAAGTTGAAATATCATGCGCGAAGCTTGGAGCAACGAAATACCAAATGTAGCGAGCCGTGAAGAGTAACGTAATAATGATTACTAAGGAAAGAACAAGAGAAATTATAACGGTAATACCTTTATCAAAAAAATCGATTTATAGTTCACAAGAGTGTTACGCGATGCCACGCGCGATCGATAATGAACAACGATGCATTTGACGGAAAGAAAAGTTGAACAGTTAATGTTTCGAATGTCCTACGAAGAGAAAAGTAGCACCGTCTTTTGGGGAAGTGGTGGGGGTGGTTTCTAAGTGGACACGCAATGAATAAAATCTACACACGTGCGTACGACGTACGACGTATGATGTACGACATACGACAATGCGTTTCAATACTGTAGTATGTATTAAGTGTTTCTATCGTACGCGCATGGATCGCAGTAGCTGAACAACGCGATGGCGCGTCATAAAATTTAAGCCGCCGGGTAGCTTAAGCAGATGCTGACGCGAAATACATATAAAAATCGAATCAAATCGTACCGAAAATCATGATATTCTATTACTATGCGTCTCGCCGTCTGTTTACCTAATACAATAATTAGTATATCGTTTACAAATCTACGATGAAAGATGCAACGCTTCGTTCGCCGCAATAACGATGCAAATCACGCGTCGAAATTATTGATGCAAAAAATCAACCCGACGAAAAATACGATTTAAGAATGTTTTAGGTAAGAGAATGTCTTTTGAAGAAAAGCACTTTTAGGTGCTGCCATGTCTTCCATTATTTGTATATTGATAATAAAGTCTATTATAAACGTAAAACGCGCATCAGTGTGCGTGCGTGCGAGCGCGTACGCGTACGCATACGTACAAGTATAAGTATACACGTACCAAGCAAGTTCTCAGCAGACATGTGTACACTTGTACGATCGTTAGGTTATTACATACTTAAAATAATGTAACTGAAAATATGGCGTAATATTATATAATAAAATCTAAATGCAAGAATAGAATATTCCCTTTTACTCGGTAACAAAGTAGACGCTGTTGCCTTCCACCTTACTCTCGTATTTATGCGAATCGTACATGGTTTTCTTTCATCTCCCAACTGAGCTTTCCTCGACAACAAAAATACAAGACATGAAAACAGTAGCAATATCCAGTGAATATCCTATTTCGTTGAAATATTACCTATAGTTAGTGGAATGGGGAAGAAACCCACTTTCACCCACAAATCAATCACGACCTGCCGAAAATAGTCGAAAATAACCGATCGTGACCCGTCGAATACGTAGGTACAGACCCTCATGAAGCGGCAACCCTAATTGCAACAGATTTCAATACCATTTACACCGCTGAACGGGCATCATTTTTCCTCGTCGCGCATTAAATTCCAAGTTTTAAGAACGTAGATTAGTACTTTCTATCGGCTGTGAACCAGTTATTACAAGAACATTGTTAAAATCATATTTATTTGCAACGGTTGACACTGTATCTCGTCATGTGTACCCCGGTTAGTTCACTTTGGACAGCACGTACACCATTATACGGACAGCTTTCGTTTAGCTGAAGCACTCGATTTATAGCTGAAAGAACGTAGATTAATACACTGTTATTGATAATAACAATAAACGACCAGAACATTGTTAAAATCGCAATTTAATTGCAACGGTTGACACTGTATCTCGTCATGTGTACCCCGGTTAGTTCACTTTGGACAACCCTTACACCGTTATACGGATAACTTTCGTTTAGATAAAGCACTTGATTCGTAGCTCAAAGAACGAAGATTAATACCCTGCCATTGACAATAACAATAAACGACCGGAACACTGTTGAAATAGCATTTAAACGCGGAATACCACTATTTTTTCGACCGGTGGCGCCACCCGTGGCAATTCGCTCAAACTGCTAGCCAAATTATACCGACAGGTGAGTGAGAATTCCTAGTGATGGAAAAATGCGAATATCTCAGTAATTAAGCGCTTAAAATGAACGTCGTTAGTCTCAGATTGTTCCTCAGGACTTATTGCATGGACCCCATGGTGCAGAACCTCAGAATTAGTAAAATTATTTATGCCTGTATTACCGCGCAGCCCCTTATGGAGCGGCAACCCTAATTGCAACAGAGTTCGATCGCATTTACACCGCTGAACTACTACCCAGTAGTACGTCCTAAGTACTATTGTACGTTCTTCAGACTTTGAATTGAATATTCGTGTTTCTCAACAACTTATATCTTAAAAAATTGCTTCCAATTTTTCATATTCGCAAATGAAAAAGCAAAAATTTGTCGTTTGCGCAATAGATACATAGTCAATGGTCTTTTTACACAAATATGGTACCAATTACCGAAGGAACAATGATCGCAAATTCTTCTGTTCGATGAATAATAAACGTATTGACACAATTTCCATCTATCCACCTTTCGCAATATCTTACAACTAACTTAGATATCCAAATATTCTTATACCAACGATACGTAAATCCCACGGCGGTTGACTTCTTTCTTCAGTCTACCTGAGAGTACAATAAATCAAAGTAGAACACAGTTAATTAATATAAATGAAAATAAAACACAATTAATTAGAATATATCAAAGTAAAATACAATTAATTAAAATAAATTAAAATGAAACACAGGTAATTAAAATAAATGAAAATATAACACAGTTAATTAAAATAAATTAAAATAAAACAGAAGGAATTAAAGTAAATTAAAATAAAACACAATTAATTAAAATAAATCAAAATAAAACACAATTAATTAAAATAAATCAAAATGAAACACAGTTAATTAAAATAAATGAAAAAAAAATCCCAATTCATTAAAATAAATCAAAATAAATCACATATAATTAAAATTAGCTAAAAAAAAAGGATGTGCAAATCAATTCGTCGAGTTCGGATAAGAGAGGTTGCCATGTAAAACCCCCCAATGAGCGCCAATAGTCGGTGATGCTAAAAAAAGAAGATTACGATTTATTAATCGAGTTCGGATAAGAGAGGGAGGACTCATTAGGCACCACTGATCACCAAGCTATATTGGGAGAAAAAAAAAATCCAACCTGTTAGTCGGGTTCGG